AAAAAGAATAACACAATTTTCTGGGTTGAAATAACCCAGAAATTAGTTGGTCCCTTTTTAACCCAGGAGTTTTTAGTGTGTGCTATTTGCTGTATTATTATTATTTTTTACTGAATTTATTGTAGGCTTCCACACAGGTCCACTTCACTGTCTTCTCTTGCCATCAAACACTGACATTCTTCAGCTTCACATCCCATTCAAGACCTACTGTGGGTAGGAAATTAAAGATGCCCTGTAGAGTTTTGTAAACAAACACAAATTACATTTACATTTAGTGCTACTCACCAAAACACAATGTGTGTGTCATTGAGGTCTAACAAATGTATTAAATGCATTTCATTCCTCATTACACATTTGCAAAAACAAAGTTTAAACATTTTGTTTAAATACATGTTTACTAGCTTGCAGTCTTCTTCTTCTCTGCCTGGGACACTGTTACTTTTCCTGATGCATTACCGCCTAGGGGTGGGAATCTCTGGGCACCTCACGATTCGATTATGATACAGAGGGCTGCGATTCGATTATAAAATGCTTATCGATGCATCTTGATGCATCACTTTTTCTATACAGGATCCTTGGATAATTACTAAGCATTTAATTTGAACATTAAAATCCAAAAGAAACATCTCCTAATTAGCTTAAAAGGACTTGTTTGCATGCCTAATTTACTTTATTAACCTCAGCTCTTTGGTCCATTTCTTTAACATCAGACTCCTCTGAAAGCAGACATATAAAGTATAAAAATGATTAGGATATAGCCTAGAGTATGTGTACACAGGACAGAGCTGTACACCAGTTTAGTCTAAGCTTGTACCTGATGTTGTCAACCCTTGACTAGTAGGTTAGTTAGTAATGACATACAGCTGATAATTAATATTACTTAGTTACTAATTTAGCTTAAACGTTAAATAAATATTATTTTTCACCAATAAATTTCAGGGGACCCAAGGAAGCTTTACCCATCGTTACAAAACAACAAAAAGTCATTCAGGAGTGAATGCCTTGGTAAAGAGCTGGGTTTTTAGTAGATTTCTTCAAGTGTCCAGACAGGGAACATTTCTGTGGGGATGAGTTCCAGAGGGTGGGGGCTGTGACGCTGAAGGCTCTGTCCCCAAAAGTCCGGAGTCTGGGGGACAGACAGCAGGCTCTTGTCCAGGGGAGATGTTAGCTAGCGCTAACAGCCTTCACTTTTCCAGCCGTTGGGGAAACTACTACAGACTTTTATTAACGGACACACTGTGACCTACGCTGCTCGTTTACTACCTGACTGAAACTTACTGCTAATCCACTAACTTTCACCGTCTCGTTCTGCCGCTCTCTCTCAATCGCTCGTCCTCACGCACAGGATACGTAGAGAGAAAACCATCACTTGCGCATTGATATTAATGATTGTGTGACATTTTAGTAGGGTGGTTATTCATTCTGTAGGTGTCAAATACAGGGGCACACCGGTCTCTCTGTTGTGCGCGCTCCGCATACGTTCCGGTCGCGGCACTTCCGCGAGTTCCGCCTGTTCCGCCTTTTGCGTTCCGTCAACATTATGTTATAATTATCTTTAAATAATCTATTTTTAGACATTTGTTAATCCATTCATAATATTCCACGTCAGCATCGCGATGCATCTAAGAATCGATTAATTCTCCCACCCCTATTACCGCCACCTGTAGATCTACTTGATCTACAATGTGTCAGATTTGGCCAGGTTTTTTGTTTAAAATATTCAAAAAATTAACTAACATGATCAACAGAATGTGTCAAAAGACATCTAAGTATTGCGTTGCAGAGATATCTAATGAAGCGTTAGCATGCCCTCAGTCAAACATGAGAGGATGACAAAGTAGAGCTGCCCCAAGGGCTTGTCAATCAATGCTGCTGCAGGAGCTGCTTTCTCTCCCTCGTGCTCCCCAACCTCTCGTCCCTCCACTACCTAAAAGTTTTTGTCTCCTTCCACCAATTAGATCTTCCCTGTCTCTGACTGGTTATGAAATTGTCATTGTCCTTTTAACTTCATTGTTGCAGAAGAAGTGACGCCCGCTAATGCTGGAAAAAATAAAAAGCTTAATTTATGAGGTTATTATAAAGATAAGCTCTAACGTTACATGTCAATAGAAAACAGCAGAGGAGCAGAATTTTTTTCCCCATAGACTGTATAAAACATGGACGTAGTCTCTGTGACGTCACCCATACGTTTCTGAAGAGTGACTGTGAAGCCCAGTGGGGTAGCTCCGGCCGTTGCCATCTTGGCAGTGCCTGACTTCGGCTAATACAAAAATTAGCAAAGAAGGAGAGAGCAAGGGTGGAGCTAGCAGACTGCTAGCAGTAAGCCAAGTGACGGCACCCAGTCAGTCACTCAAAGTGGCCACGACCTTAATTATGCATAACTTTAGCTTAATGCATTTGTATTAAGAATCCTCCCCCATACAGTTGTCATGAATGGGGAAATTAGATATAGAGACCAAAACTGTTTTTTGTACCAGGTTGTAAACATGTTTATTTCTGCTTTAAAGTTGGCCATTTTAACATTGGGATCTACATGGATTGACTCACTTTTGGAGCCAGGCTCAAGTTGCCATTCAATGAACTGCACACATACCTTTTCTGTAATTTCAGATCCAGACACTTCCTCCTGCAGTAACCCCTTTCTCGACTTTCCCATCACCTGACCTTCCCTGCCCACCTGTTCCCACATTTCCTCATCAGCCTTGCCGTAAATACAGTGTATATAACAACCAATGCCTTGCCAGATTGTCTATTGTGCTTCCTCCTTAGCTACCTTGTTGTTTGTTCTGAACCTTTCTGGATGTGTTTCTTTTGATCTGCCTACCTGATTTTGACTTTTGCCTGTTCTTGACCACGAGTAACCATGAACTTTTACATAACTTGCCCATTTGTGCATCTGGTTCAAACCAGGTTATCCACTGAGCCTTTACAGTAACAGAGTATCTTTAAATATAAAGACTGTCATTTCATTTCAGCATTTTTATTTGAAAGGTTTTTCTCAGATTTTTATCCTTTTTAAAATCTGTTTACACAAGTCTGAAACAGTAAACGGTTGAGTAAAAAAGCCCATTAAAACATTTACAACAGTTACATGCTGTATAAGGTATAATGACAACGTATAATAACTTGAGATGGACTGAAATGTATGTTTTACATTTCTATAATATAAAAAGAAAACTACAGAAATCAACCATACATGATTTCCTACAAGACACCTCAGTCTATTGACCTAATCTAGAAAATACACCATCCATGTTTCCACCACTGAATAAAAGAACTGAAGGATATCACTAGATGCAGACGATCCATCTGGCATCAGGGTTGAGTTCGGTACAGTGGGCTTGAAAGGAAGAGGTTGGCACCACACCCCGTGGGAGGGGTTAGCTAGCTGCCTGGCTGCCCTGGGCCAATATTAAACGCTCCCACATGCTGGACTGCAGCTTCAAAGGAGAAGCAAGAAAGAAAGAGGGATAAAAAAAGCCAGAGAGAAGCCACACACACATACAAGAAGTGTTTCTGCGTCTCTGCGTGGCCATTAAGCATTTACACTTACTATCAGTGAGTGAGGCAGAGTGCAGCCAGCGCTTATATATGAATGATGTATTTTCCTCAGGACACATTCACAACCTCCAGCCAAAACCCTACAGACACTTGCACGCGCACCACCTCCTTATTCAACTCATCCCTTTGCTCTGTCCTCCTGTCCTGCTTAACGACTTTGTTATACCTGGGCAATAAAAAATAGTCATTTTCTGCTTTTTATGGATGATTTTGTATCCAAATCCTTCACTGTTCATTCGAGAGCTTGAACCATTATCCAGTGGAACTGTTATTAATGATGACATTATGTCTTATACATAAAATGCACACATCCTCCATTGAATACAAGGCAAAAACAGAGCAAGAAGCATTATCTTATGTTACGGTTTTGCTGACCTTGAGATGAGATTTAAACAAGACAAATACAATTAGTATTTAGTAACTCATCTGCAGAAAGAAACCATGAGAGGAAAAACAGTAAAGTAGATACATAAATAAATTAGATAGGTGTTAGCAACACCTTGCAAACACGTGTGGTCTGGTGTGGAGCCACCACTGTCTACAGCCTCAGACATTGCAAATCTCAACAGCAACAAAAAGATGTATACTGCACTTAATATTTGCAGCACTGATTAACAAGTTGCAAACTCAACAGTGCAGTTATTTAATTTCATCCTTGATAGGGCCAGCTAGCTAAAAGGCCTAAGCTGTATTGCAATTTCCTTCTATAACAATTATTCTACAGATCCCTCAGTATCAATCACTGATCATATCTGTGAAGCTAAACAAACACACACAACATGGAAATGAAGATTATTGATAAGAAGCAGACCTTTAGGTCTTAACTGGTTGCTGCTCTTTGCAGTTTTTGTTCAAGGACCTATTTTTAGTCCTGCAGGTTCTGGTTTGGTCTGGCTTCAAACTGTGTCTGGCCTTCACCAGCCGCGGGAGCCCTCTCACACTGAGAGTAACTGAACATAGCCATGGTGTGTGTATTTATGTGTGTATAACAATCAAACAATCAAAAGTGGACAGTTTTTCTGTCCTCACTGTGTGTATTAAGGATTAGACCAAGTTAACTTGTTATGTCAAATACCTCTGCTACCATCGTGGTACAAATGTGTGAATCTCACACTGCAACAGATTGGACAAACATTTCAAAAATGTGTTTTATGTTGCCAATGAAAAACTGAAATGTAACTATCAATGTGAGGAATAAAATCAACCACACACGTACTACACACCTGTGTGTAGCCAGTGCACTAGTCTAATGCAGTACCTACCGGCTCAGAAGGGGTTGTTCTTTTATTTCTATTTTTGTGTCTGTATTACTGAAACCATCTCTGGCCTGCGGATTGAAAAGTAAAGGAAGCTTTTGTTCTGAACAGTGTGAGTGGGCGGCACAGTCAAAGTCCAGTGCATGCTGCTTGTCATGAAAGATTAGCACATATTCTGCCTACCTGAGTGAGAATATCTAGTTGACCTATGATGTGTTCTAGGGTGCTGGCTAGACCCGGGGGGACCCCTCCATCTGAGGCCTGGGACTGTGCTGGAACCTGGGTAGTGTGCTGTGGTAAACTCTGGGTCTGCATCTGGTGGGTGGAGGAGGAGCTGGTGCTGTGGTTTCTGTAGGTGTGGGAATGAGTCGCTCTGCAACTGCGACTGCCGCTCTGAGTGTGGGCACCAGTGTGGGAGTCCTGTCCGTTAAAATGTTCTGATGGTTCAGACGCCTAAACACGGAGAGGAAGAAGGGTGAAGAGTTGTTAGACACTCAGATGGTCTCTTATGTGCTTCACTTACAATATGATAGTAATATGAGGGGTTGTAGAGGTGTGTCATTAACTGTATGGTATAGTGTACTATTAAATAAAAAATGGCTGAAACTATGACATAGCAATCATTTAATCCTTAAACCACAAGAAGATCTTTTAAACTTGATCCCTAATAACTGTTAAACACTGAACATAAAATTATTGCTAGGGTGTTTCGAAGTTATAACAAAGTGCTGAATTACATCACTGATGAATCTCAAACTGACTGTCTGAAAGGTCATCATATCAGTAACCGTACTAGTACCATGTATCGACTATAGCAGCAATATTAGATCTTCTGAAACTTGGCCTATAAAATATATATATATAGTTCAATCATCTTTTTAAACCATTGGTATATTAATAACATATTTTGCTCAGATCTCCGTCAGGCTCTTTTTGTGACAAGACCACAAACAATTTTTTTCTGACTAGAATGATTTTCATCTTGCAGTTAAAACCAACTATTGCTCCATGCTAATGTACATACTGTGTAATGTCTTTCTTTTTTCATTTGTCTTATTTTTACAATCTATCTGTAATATTATCAACCTGATTTTCGATATTGTCCGTCCTGGAAGAGCAACAGAGGGGTCGCGGTCGTCTTATGTGGACAAAGAGAGGCGGGGCAAGCCGGTGTGTTTACCTGAGGTGTAGGACTCAGGTTTCTGTGTGTCTGAGTGTGGGGAGAAGAGAATTCCGAGGAAGGTGCAAAGAATATTTAAAATTTATAATATTAATGTTCGTGTTGATTAAAACCTGCTTTTACATGGACGTATTATGTGAAAAAAATTTAGATTTCTTTTGCTGGAGGGGCAGGGTTTTACAATCACGATGCCTGCTCAACCATCGCCGATGGCATCGTCTAATTGCCCGACCCTGACAGACACATAAAACTGAATTAAAAAAGGGGGGGGGGGTCACATTTGAGAAGATGGGCCCAGTTTTAAATAGATTTTGAACTTAGAGTTGACAATTCATTTTCAGAACTACAACAAATATTCACTTCTCTTATATTTTGCCACATAATGTAACAGCAGAGTAAGACATTAAAATGCACTATAAAGAGTGACTTAAATTAACTTTGTTTCAGTAAAGGAGTTATGGAGTCAAAAGAGGGATACTGTTGACTCTCTCTCGCACACACACACACACACAAATGCACATTCTTCACAATCACCACCACACAGAGGTCTTCAGAGACAGAATTATGAAACAAACTACTGATGTGTGCACATAGTGTTTAGTCACATAGACACAGTGATGGAGAGATGTGGTCACTGACCTTCATGTGTTCAGACTGACTGGCAATTTTTGTGTGAGTGTGTCTGTTGAAGGAGACAACTGTTTTACTCATCACCACGCAACAGGAAATACATTTGCACTGAGCTAAACATATTCAAGACTGCCGTCAGCCGTCACCTGGCTCTGCTCGTTTGCCACAGACAGGGGTAATAATACTGTCACAATAAAATGGGCAGTGATTCGCTGCAGTCATGTACAAAGGCCATGAGACGTTCCTTGATGTGTGTCAGTTCTGATGAGATAAGACAATAAACACAGAACATAAGTTTCATGGAAAGACATTTCACTAAATGTGAATGATTATTTCTAATATGGAGAAAAGAACCTGTCGACTCACTCTGCAGTTTTTTGCTCAAAATCAAAATGCACCTGTGACATCAAAAATGATGGACCACTCAGCCACAGGGAAACTCAATTATGTTGTTTTCAATATTGGAACACCCATTTTGTAGCCACAATCCACTGAAACATGCTAAATAAACATATTTAATTACCACACAATGGTACTGATAATTTATTTTGATTTAAGTGTGAACTATATCATCGTTATTAATCATCAATCAGCTCTACAACATATTTGACCTGATGAATCGATAAAACACACCATCATCAGTACTAGATATCTTTACTTTGTCGTATACTATAATGATGGATTCCTCTGCTACTCTAATTTTCTGCTCTCTCTGCTTTGTATCAAACCAGCTGCTTAAAAACAAGCACTGGTCCCCACATAAAGACACATAGACTCACATAGAAAAGATGAGGCAAACATGGATGTAGACATCTATGCATAAAGACACTTAGTGTCTCACAACACACATACACTAGAGTTTGCTGGCCAATATTTAAAGCCTAGTGTTTCTGTTGATGGTCCTGAAAAAGCTGAGTAGAAAAAAACAACATTGACTCGAAATATTGTGGGGAAGAAATGCTGCTGAAAATAATGGAGAGAAAAAAAGGGTGTTGTATTAAATAAAAATGAATTTAAAAAAAACACGAAAAACTTTTTAAACCAACATTTTCAAATAACAGATGTAGCATTTTTTTCTACAACAATTCCTGTTTTTGACAGTTTTGACATCTACATCTACACTCAAAAGGTTAAATTTCAACAACAGTGCTTTTTTCATTACATGATTAGCAATCAAAATCTTATGAGATCAGTCTGAATTATGTTATTATGACTTAACAGTTGAAGTTAAGAGTTGTCATTAGCGCTCAAGCAGTAAAGTGGTTTATGCAGTGTACCATTGTGGGCTTCATTTACCTTATACCATGTGTACACAGTGATGCTGATGCTAAAACAATATATTGTTCATGTCCTGTAACGCTGCAGCCCTAGGTGGAGCCAGGGGAAAACCCTGATACGCACAAATGTACACGCACGCATACAGCGCACACATTGTAACCACCTTCCTAATGAATCACCTGGACTGGAAAAACCAACAGTGGATAATATCCCCGAGGCCCAAATTAAACTCTTTGTCTGACACAGCGAGCCATCAATACACCCTGAAAGCTGCATTCAAAATCATTCATCAAGCTACACGCATGCACACATTATCATAGAGTAGGTTCCCAACCTGAAATTTTTTGGGTGAAACACGCATATGAACAGACAGATAACTCACATATTTCTTTTGTCTGCATCAGCAGCTGGTTCCTTAATAAACTGTATGCATGATGGCTATAAACTGAACTAGATTAAAACAAATGTCACCTGATACCCTAAAGACATTTAACAGTGTGACTGTCTCCAATTAAGACAATTACAATTCAGAAAATTATAGGCAGGGTAGGCAATTTCTTTCTAGAACAATTTTTGCCATATTTGTTGAAACTGTCGTTATATACTAATACATAATAAAAATTTAGGTGCTTTGAAAAATAGATTTAAAAAAATGGAGCGTCTGTAGTCCTCATAGGGCTGGAATAAACAGCCGTTCGGACGGAATGGAAGTGACTGTCACTCAACCTCGCTACCATAGCTACCAGCCCTGCTGCTACAGGACCACACCTACATGTGCCCACACTGTCACTCAGACCCGACGACGACGCAAAGCTAGGAGAGGTCAGACCAGAGGGCATATCTGTGTGGCTTTTCAACAATGTAGACAACTGGGGTACCCCCAAGGGACTTTACATTTTGATGGTAATTTGTCACTTTCATGAAGAATGATTCGCTAGCCGACGTAGGTACCTACTTAACATACAGCTAACGGTGGCTGCGACAGTGTGGGTGTATACTGGTGTAGCAAGCCAGAGTAGAGATGATGAATTATCAGTAGCAGCAGGTGAGTTGTAAAACAGCAGCACCGCTGTCTTGGAGATGTTAATACTGCTATGCCATGAATTATATCACCAGAAGGGATAATACTGTGCGTTTTATTTCTACTGTGCCCTCAGGTCAACTGCAGATTTGGAGTCTTCCATAACCCTGTACTTCTTACCAGTACAGAGATGCTCACAAGTCTTTGAGCTAGAGTCCAAGTCAAGTCTCAAGTCTTCAATCCAGGCTGCTTATAACACTGCATACTTATAAGGGATTCTGTAACTGTAACCCGTTTTTCACTTGCAAAGCACAACCATGTAATGTGCAATGCAATTAATGACAGCTTATTAACTACTATAAGCACAACACAACACAACCCGCTGACTCTCAAACCCAGTGTAACATTCACTAATGTTAGATAAAACTGTAACGTTACATGATCAACATTAAACCTGTAACCTGTTTTTCACTTACAGAGCACAACTATATAGCCTAATGAGTCTACAACTAATGACAGCTTATAAACTACTGTAAGTCAACACACACCCCAGATTCTCAAACCCAGTGTAACGTTATAACTAAATAAAACTATAACGTTACATGAGCAACAATAAACCTGTAACCTGTTTGCAGCCAACGGTAATAATTAATGCAATGGCAGCCAGCAGGATTACGTTAATAGACCACCACAAGTTTGGCAAGTAAACAAACTCTCATTCATCTTTTCATAACGAACGATAGTTGGACCTAACCTCTGGTAAGTCGTAGCTGAAGCAAGAAGCCAGCTAACGTTAGATGGCCAATGCTAAGTTAAACACGTTTACTGACCTAAGGTTACTAACCTATTTTGCATTCAGCGCTTCTTTGTTTGGGCCTTGTTGTATGAAGTTTTAAACCAAAGTTTAGGATGAATGGCACAGCAGCTGCAGCTGTTTGTTGTCCTCTCTCACGTGTGGTTGCGAGCAGCAGATCCGTAGTACGTGTTAAGGAGGCAGGTTATAGGTAACGGAGGGAGGGGAATAACAGCAAGCTCATCAGACTTTTCCTAAAAATAAAAATTGTTCACGAGTCAAACGATGCTGTCATTGTGAAAGCTCTAACATGCAAAACAACGAATATGTTATGAGTATAACAAAGTTCACATTCGTGTAGAAACACCCAGTGTTGAGAGGTGCATCACAGTGTTTCACACATGCATATACAATGCACTTGTCACACTTGTTCACAGGCCAGTGAGATTTTACACCACTTGCAGAATCTTGAGTGACAGTTGTTGTTGTCTTTTGCCATGGCCATCTTTTTAGGAGACCCTGAAGGCTTGTGCAGACTACACGACTTTCAA